CAAGTGTTTAGTCGCATCAGAGGGGGACCAGGTTTACCATTCAAGCAGCAAAGGTAAAGAGACAATGGATATGGAATTCAGAGGCATGCATCAAATATTAGCACAATCCATTACAGTATTAAATAGAACCCTGCCAGAAAAACGCAGGGCAAAAATCCTTGATGAATGCGATTTAAACATGCGGGGTTTTTAATGCGATTTTATGCGGTGAAATTGCGGGACCAGTTTGGCCGAAATATGCGGAAAGTTGCAAAATATGCTAAATATGCGGGAAAAAAGAATAACATTTGTTTTAAATATTGGGCTGTCCTATTTATTCTCTCTCACACACAACCTGGCCACTAGACGTTAAACCCCTTTATATTCAAGTAAACACATTCAATGTTTATTTATTGTAAAAGCAATTGGGACTATTTTTTAATCTCACACACCCCCCCCCACCACACCCCACACACTTTCCTCCTCATTCCTGTTTTCATTTACTCGTTCGTTATCTGCAGCTTCAATCTTGTAGGCTACTCACCTCGTTTCTTGTAGCCCTCTAAAGGGTTTTGGAGGTTGATGCCTCGGTGAACGTGAGTTGTTTGGCTTTATTGTCCGCAGCAGCAGAAAGCATTTTCGAATGTTTGAATGAATCAAAGTGGGTCGTCACCGTCGATTTTCTCTTATGCTCCAACACACAGTTGCACGGGGTGCAGAATAGTTTCCCCCCACTTTTTGCCCGGTCTTTAGTAGAAATGTTCGTCGGTAAATGAGATGGATTAGATTTTTTCATCTTGGTGTTTTCTCTATCGTGTGAGCTCCACACGTTCACTCTATACAGTGTTGTTTACATTCTGTGATGCGCGAGCTGATGACGTCACGTGAAGACGAGTTAACTTTTTTTTTTCTCGACTTTGTGTGGAAAAATGCGGGGATTATGCGGCCTTTTGATAAATATGCGGCCTTTTAAAAATCTGCGCCATTTTGCTGATTATGCGGTAAATTCTGCGATCGCAGAATCGAGTTTTTCTGGAGGGTCTTATTAAAAGTACAGAAACAGTATTTTTTTTAACAAAGGGGAAAAAAGGGTAGCATAGCAGCCAGATAACAGTAGTGAAAGTAAAGTATATATTGCACTGTTATTTACAGATTGGGTTATAGTTAAATAGTCTAACTAAGAGATAGAAGTGTTAATCAATGGTTGTTACATAACCTTCGTCACAAGCCACTAAGCATGAAAAACACAAACACGCTGATCAATGCATCACTATGAACCTTTCTATTGTGGTTTTCCAAAGCTGAATCTCCCACAGTCCTCCCAACAGGTTGTGTCAGAGCACTCTCCTCTCACAATGCACCGCTGCCCGGTCAGAGAGGTGGGAGGCAGAGTGGGAGGAGAGGGGTAGTGTGGTGTGAACAGGGCCTGCGGGGGTGGGGCTGCTGCTGCTGCTGCTGCTGCCGCGTTACATAATATCAGATGAACCCAGCTGTGCTCGGCTGTGTAGCCCATGGCTGAAGTGGTGCCAGCCGAGCCCTCTGATGACTCCACCTGCGCTCTGAGTGGGGGGACGGCTCCATAAACAGACTCACCCTGACCAGACTGATCACATGTAGTCTGATTGCATCGGAGAGAATCACATTCAGAAACAGGTTTATTACCAGGTAGGTTACACGTACGAGGAATTTGATTTGGTGTCGTGGTGCATACATAAAAGTAAAAGAAGAATTAAAAACACAGCTAGAGAACTAGAACAATATTAAGAATAATACAAAATATAGTAAAATATAACAGTATTTTACATTGCAATGGAATGGAATAAAATATGGAATAAAAAATGGGTGAAATATCGGCGGCACCAACATCCTGTCCTCCATCAGTGTGTTGCCATGGCAGCACAGTTGTTGTGTTGTCACAAAACCTTGGAGTCTAATGATAAGGCAGGTTTTTAACAACGGTAATTAGAATTTCCTTTTCTTTGACCAAAGCTATCTTCAAGGGAGCAATGTACCAAGGAAAAAGATATCCTTTCATCATGTCTGTTGAAAAAGGCAGCTTATAGTTAGTTTTATCTTCTCTGCTCATGTTGCTACACAGTGATTGTGGACAGGAACTTCTGTGGAGACTCAATTCATTTCCACAGCTGGCTGGTGTGTTTCTTTTGGCAGACTTTGCAAGGAGCATAAACTTTGAATATAAACTTAAATAATATACTGCAGGTGTCTTCCAGGAATGGGCATATCACCCGGCAAGCTCTTTTTAAAAGACCCATATCAGAGTCACTATCATTAAAAGCTCATCATGTTGCCCTCCCAGTCCTCTGTAATTAAAGGAAGAGGCGTCTGAGTTTCTTAAACTTTGCGTCTCTGATACTGCGTTACAGCTAGAAACACAAACAAACTAGCATTTACCATTTATTAGAAGCTTGTTTTAAACAAACACACGCTGAAACCCAAACTTCTTCATACACATCAGCCATAAAGGGAATATAACAAATTGAAAGAAATGTCTGCAGCACCGTCGGTGGTGATCCGTCTGTGTTGTATAGCATTTTGTTCTGTGTTATATCCAAAGGCATTGTCCTAACTAAATAATAGGATATTTAGCTTTTGATGTTTGGTGGACATGTTGTGTGAAAAGCTTTAAGTGTAATATGTCTATTTCTGATAACATTATAATTGGCTGGAAAAAATGGATGCCGGTACATTATCAGATTGCTGTAAGCCAGCAGCTATGAAACACACTGTTATTTAAAACGCACTTTACACAATTTCACTGAAACACAGACATGTCTCAAGTCATTGATAGATGGATAAACCATGTAGCAGTAATCTGCTAACAGCTGCCTGAAAACAGCCAACAGGAACTTGTCTTATGTTGGCTTTCCCCCAC